GAGACAGAGAGAGGGGAGAAAAAATTATTTACGCAGGGGAGGAGAAGAGGAGACTTAATTCATTTTTGGCGCCGCATTTATAGCGGCAGTCGAAAATACTTTTAGTGGCAGTTGTTTAACTGCCGCTATATGTTAATATTTCTAGCGGCAGCCGGTCAATAGCCACTTCTTGAACTGCCGCTAAGTATTTTTTTTTGTAATGATTTCAATTGCATGATTTATTATATTCCACATATTACCAAAAATTTATTTTCTTGAACTGCCGCTAAGTATTTTTTGAGTTTCACCGGAATTATTTTCTTTTGAAGGATCATATGGGGAGAACAATTCTATGAGAAACCAGTGGAGACGACTATATTGCTTTCTGGGTAGTGTTTCAGTTATGAATAAGTCTCCTCAAGCTTGTGTTGGTGAACGGGTCACTGTTACAGAATGGCATCGACGGTTGGGACATCCAGCTCTTCGAGTAGTGAGGCAAGTCTTGCCTAGGTTTAGTTTACCATATGTAGGGCGGTTTGATTTTCCCAAAGTTTGTGAACCCTGTTAATTGGGTAAAGGTCATAGGCAGACACTGTCTTTCTCTTTGTAAGTATCAAATAGTCCGTTGGACTTAGTTTATTTAGATGTTTGGGGACCAACCCCAGTGGTGTCAATAAATGGTTTTCAATATTATGTTATTTTCGTGGATAATTTTAATAAATTTTCATGGATATTTCCCATGCGAAAAAAATCTGAAGTCTTTGACATATTTGTGAGATTTAAATGACACGTCAAAACTCTCTTTGACACCAAGATCAAAAGATTTCAATCTGACTGGGGTGGAGAGTACATAAATCTTTTCAAAATTCTTGATGAACATGATATAACTCACAGACTTGCTTGCCTTCGTACTCACTAACAAAACATAGCCATTGAAAGGAAGCATCGCCATGTCATAAAAACTACCCTGTCTCTATTGGCCACCTCATTTCTCCCCTTTAATTTTTGGTTGGATGCAACTCTTACAGCGGTGTTTTTAATTAATCGACTTCCCAGTCCGGTTCTTGATGGAAAATCACCAATTGAGAAATTATTCAGCTCACCACCAACCACACTATGTTGAAAACGTTTAGATGTGCATGTTTTCCATTTCTTTGGCCCTTCAATCATCATAAGTTCGGCTATCAATCTCTTCGTTGTATGTATCTATTGACATGTAGTCTTCGATGAAACATCATTTCCGAGTGTCGAATATTTCAAGCCAACATCTTCGCCTTCACCAGGAATCTATGTTCATGCACCACCAACAATTGCTCCATCTTCTTCCTGTACAAAGAATGGCCTCTTGAGCAAATTATTTCTACCCAGTCATCGCCATCAGCTCTTGGTAACGGCATTATCTCACCCAACACTGTGCATTCAGCATTTGATAATGGGCACCATGGTAATGATATAACTCCTGTCTTTAGCATCTTGTGATGGGCCCAATACTACTACTTCAGCTACCATTCTCCATAGTGGGCCCACTCATACTGCCACCTCTGAACCAGCACCACAGAAGATGCATTTGATTCAAGACATTTTGGATTCCACCCCAATTGTGCCACCGTCCTCTCTCTCTTTTAGGCAACATGGAATGGTGACCAAATCCATGGACGGCACCTTGCCATCTCAGGCCCATTATGTTGTTAAATATCCCATTCCTTGTGCAATGCTCACACAATTTCATGAGAATTGGTCTGAACCCACTACCTATTCTGCTACCTCCAGGGATGCCCATTGGCAAGATGCCATGATGTAGTTCCATATCGACCCGGCATGAATGTCATTGGAACGGGTCTATAAGATTAAATGGCGGGCTGACGGATCCATTGAGCATTATAAGGCCCATCTTGTGGCCCAAGGATTTAATCAAATCCCGGGAGTTGATTTTGGAGAGACATTCAGCCCTATTGTCAAACCGGTTACAATGTGAACTATTCTTGCATTGGCAACTTCACAAAAATAAGTGCTTCGACAACTTGATTTTGATAATGCATTTTTCAATGGTTTTGTTGGGGAGGACACCTTTGTTCGGAAGCCCAAAGGGTTTGAAAATTCAGATTTTCCTACTCATGTCTGTAAGCTCCACAAGGCACTTTATGGGCTTCGAATGGTTTTGGCCGTTTTCTAATTTTTTATTATTTTATTATTTTTTTTGTCAGAACGGGTTGGCCGTTTGGGTTGAACGGTCAGACCGTTCGAAGTGGTAACCGGACCCCTGACTGGTTCGGTAAGCGGTTCGTTTTTAAAAACTATCTAAATTTGTTACGGACAGATCAGATCCAATCCACTCTAATAAATATTTTGGACCGAATTGATCCAATCCAAAATGTCTTATTAATCCATCCAATCCGTACAAATTAATTTTGGACTGGGCAGGGTCCAATCCAAAACCGGTTCATTGACACCCGTACACATATTCAAGGCATGTTACAAAGGGCCCAGACAAAGCATGAAGCATGATTATCTGTGTGGTCTGAGACCGAACTCACTGCCACCAAGATTGGGTTGCTAACTAGTGAAAGATACGGTAGAAACAAGCAAGTGATGATGGTGGGCCTCAGAGGTTGATTATTGGCCTTCAGTCACATGTTTGTGTAGTCTCGTAAATCGTAATTTTGTGGAAGTCTGGCTGTGCCTCTTAAAAAGGAGCCAATAATAGGGTATATGCCTTGTCTTCGTGTTTTCTCCCTGAAACTAGATAGTGCCAATCTCTGGCTCTGGGAGTCACTTTCACTTATATTGACGGATGTGAATTGGAGGTTAATTAGCTGTTTTAATCGAAATTTCCATTTCTTGTAGATGAGTGATTGAGTGTATAGAAGGGAGGGGAGGGCAAATGCTATGTTTGAACCAAAGTAGGAAAAGAACTGCAACTTAATGTGTTCATCCCCTCTACATTGTTTTTCAAGAATACAATTCAAATAGAGATATAGATCAATTTCTTGGACCCCATTTGGAATATACCACAGACATAAATCATCCATTTAACATCATTTGATAAGATGGGTATTCCTTTTTCAACTCTCCTTTTTAATCAAATTGTTTTTGTTTTTAATTTGTATATATACTCTATGCTTCAAAGGCTTATGATCGGACCGTTTGGCTTGAGAATCATTCAGGCAATTTGTTATGTTTTACTCTAAATTCGGTCCCTGACCAAAAATCATTGAATCAGTCAATGATTCGTTAATTTAGGTGATCAAACTGTTAACCTGTTTGATCCATTCAACGGTTTTTGGCCGTTTTTTATTTTAATTAAATTTTAATTTTTGTTAGAACAGACCATCCGTTCAAAGTAGACGGTTAAACCGTCAACTTAGAAACAGGTGGCTAGACCGGTTGCGATTCTTGATCGGTATTTAAAATATAAGTATTTTGGAATACTTAATACATTGACAAATTTCTCCTCCATCTGGAGCCAGCTGGATAAAGCAATGTGGGGGTTGTGATGTATTTGGATTCAAAATCAATGAGCGAAAAGATGGCAATGTATGCGTCTGTAATTGTATTCAAGTTATGTGCTTTCCAACTTATTTGATGACTAGTACATACATGTCTTAACCTAGGAGTTGTGGGGTTTCATCTTTTACTAAGGCGCCGTTCATTTTTCGGTAAGTTGCTTACCCGGGTAGATATAATTATCTGGGGTAAGTTTTTTTTTTATAAAATATTTAACTACTCGGGTAAGTGCATTTAAATTGTGAACCGTATTTATATTCATGAACCGAAAAGTAGGTAAATATATAATGTACATATTTCTGTTTTCATTGCAACCAAATGCAGCCCTAGGTTTGGACAAGGATAACACATCTGGCATACCATCCTCACCTACATATTTCCTTTTCAATTACAATAGTTATCAATTTCAACCAGAACAGTTTAGGATGACGACCTTCAATTCCCTTCCTTCTGTCATGTGGACCCTAGTTAAGTCTCTCCCACATATATCCATGAAACCAATCACAAAAAAAATCAGACTTAAAACTCCTCTTTTATATCTTCTTACTGTTTTTCTGGGTCACAACCCTCATACATTCAATTCCTTGGGATTGAGTTCAAGGTGTAAGACATTGCTTATTGTAATGGCGAAATCTCAAGATGTAGAAAAAAATGCCAGAGATTAGGCCCATATATAGCCCACTCCTCCCAAGATCCCAAAATAGATTTAATCAACATTGGGAAATTGAGCCTACAGAACTCTAAGTTTGTATTGGGCCCATTTAATTCGGTCTTGAATTGCATATTGAGAGGATCAGAAGTTCAGGATGTAAGCTTGTCAATTAATAGGTTTCTAAAAAGCAATCTGACCAAAATGTCCTAATCCAATCTGATCTGAGGTGGACACTGGTCCAAACTAGATTTGGATCCTTTGAATTTTGATCAAATCCCAACAGATACCTTCCATCTTTCTCTCCCCCAATTTCTCAATCTGGATCTGGTAGGCAGCACTCATTGAGGACATAAATGGATTCATTCAGTGGCCCCATCTAATAGCATAATAACTTATTTTCCGCCTTTTGGAGAGTTATAACTTGTAAGAGAATCCTTTTCCACAATCTAAACCCAAAACACACATATAATACGCATTATACAAGAATATTAATATTCATGGTGGGGATCCCTTCAATGGTAGAACCAGACACTGTAAACATGGAAGATTTTTGTTTCTATCTATCACCATCATGATGAGCAAGAGAGAAAGAAGAAATGAAATTAATGTTTGGTTTATTCAGATTTGCACCTACAGAGGGTGCCTCACACCAACCTTATAGCACAATACAGGCATGCGGAAATATCTCCTCATGAATGACAACATAAAGGAGAAAGTTGTCCTTTTTTATTGAGAAATCATTAAGGTTCCATTTAGGAAGTGTAAAACCTTATATTTTGTATTATTTTTTATGTATTTACACTGTACATATTTACATTTGTACTCTTTCCAAATT